ATGTTAAACTTTCTTTCTAAATTGTCCCATGCCTCACTGTGATTAAATGTGCTGTGTTGTATGTGCTGAGTTTATGCTATTATTACAGCATAAAACCATAGAGAAAATTAAAATTAAAAGAGGGAAACATTACAAAACCATGTTTTTGGAGTAGAGGAGCTGGTTGGGATGTTGGAGAGTCTTTACTCACCATTGCAGGTAGATGGTAACTGGTATCATAAGCAGCTTGAGAAACACGTGCACTCATGACTGAAAGTCCCTGGGGTGGAAGTGGCTCGACCAAATCCCAGGGTTGTACTTGTACACACCCATAAAGCATCCCATCCAGGGCAAGCTGCCTGCTGAGGTGTTCTCATTGTTTGGAAATTTGTTGTTGGGAAGATGTTATCAAGCTCTCAGCACAGTTCTCAGCAGTGTCTCAGTGGATGCCAGTCCCTTGAGGCAGAGGCTGTCTGGGTTTGCCTTCCACAGAGCCAAGCTCACTGTCAGCACTCAATTAGATGTGTGCACACAATTTGTGCTGACTCAAAGCTCAAAGATACCCACTAGGGTTTCTTTGTTGAGCATCCTTGTGTAGAGAAAGCTATTTTCACCTGACCCTGAACCTTTCTAGCATTATTCCTGATAGGAAAAATAAGCCCTGTGTGCTTAAAGTCAAAACCAAAAGAAGGGACCTTTTTTCAGAAGTGCCTGTGATCTGCTCAACCTTCCAGGAACTCAGGAACAGCAGTCCCTGTGTGTGCTCTGTCACTGCCTCTCTTCCTTCTTGAATCTGCTCTGTGGATGACCTGCTGGCAGGAGAAGCCCCTCTCTGAGGTTATCTCTGGGTTGATGAGTCCACTAAACAAAAGAACAAGTGAGATGGAGGCAAGTGCCTTTGGAACACCGGGTGGAGAGCTGTCAGGTCAGACCCTTTTCAGGGAGTAGCTGTAAAGTCAAGCTGGTAAAGTTTTGTTTGGAGAGAAAGAAGAGAAAAATAAAAATTATGGTGTCTAGTTCCAGAAGGCAGGAGCTTTTTGTGACTGTTAAATATAAAGTTTACAGTTCCTTCCTCTTCTCTCATCTCCTTTGCTTCCACTGTTGGATTTACTTTTCCCCTGGGTACACATGCAGCTCTTGAGAGGGGAAAGTGTGTCTGAATAGCAGCTCCCTGGCCATAATCCTGAAATAGCTGACTGAGGCTGCAGTACATGCAGCAGCAATAGAGGCCTGGGAGGATGATTTCCTTGTCTGGTGGGTGTTTGGGTGGGACGTGTATGACTTTTTACGCTGCACATTGTTGTAATTCCAGCCATGCACAGAAAAAGCTGGGCAGTGCTGGCTGAGAAAGTGCTTGTGCACCTGTACAGGGTGGGACAGGCATCCAGAGGCAGAAATAGACACCAAGCCATCCTGTTTGGGCAATTACACTCTTCCTGCCTGCTCACCACAGGCGGCGTTTCAGTGGCCAAGCCACAAAGGGAGGAATAAAGACAAATGGGTTCTCCTTTTGAAAATACCTGTACTTAAAAGAACCTCCCTCCTTAATGGCATTCACTGTGTGTCTGTTTATTCACCCTTTGCTCACATGATAATTTACTCCTGAAGAAATGTATCTCAGCTCCACCCTGTGCTGGGACTGGGCCACTTTTGCTGGCCCTGCTGGAGATCATTTACCAGGAGAACTGAGCTGTGCACATCCATAATGGGACTGCCAGAGCTGTACCTGCCCACAGCTGCTCCCCATGCCATCACTGCCTTCACAGTAGCTCATCTTAAATCCCAGTGGGTTTCTGACTCTGCCCTGACTTGCTCTCTGCATCTCTTCAAGAGCTGTAATATTCTAGGCTGTCTCTAAGTGAGAATGGGAAGAGGAGCTGTTGATTGGGAAGAGCAAAGTGCAGTGCCAACCTCTGTCCCACTGCTGCCCTAATAGAAAAGATTTGTGGCTGTGGTTGGGCTGAAGCAGCAGCTGCTGTGGTGTCACTTCAATTTTATTAATTTGGGAGTGGGTGAGTGCAAGGAACAGAAAATGCTGTGCAAGAAGGGAGAGAAGCCAGAGAGGAGGAGGCTGGCACAAGTGCCAGGCTCCTTTACTGAATGCAACCCCCTGCCTTATGCTCAGCCCTCCTGCCTACACATTAAACACGTTTCTGCTGCCCCTCTCTCAAACTGAACGTGCTGCAGTTTTGTGTCTTCCTGTGAGGTCTCTCCTTTGTGTGTTTAGTTGTCACAGAACCTCAGAGAAGCTCCTGTTCTAGAGTAACTCAGGGTTCCATCCCACCTGGGGATGTGCCCTACTTTTGTTCACCTCTGTTCTGCCAGCCCAGGCTGGGGCTCAGCAGTCTCGGCTGTCACTGGCAGGAGTAATTGCAAAAATTGATTCATGGGAAATGCCTCTAACAGGAAAAGCCTTTTGACAGACCACACAGCCATCATACTCTGCATTTATTTGACTTAATCAATGCTGTGATGCATATTTGGGTCATAAATACTCTGATATAAATTGCATTTATTCTTGTGACAGCTGTGTTCCATTACCTGTTATTTATTTGGCTCTGTTGTCCTTTCATTTTACACCTTGTGGAGCTGTCAAGTCAGCTGCTTACCACTGACAAAGCTCACAGCTCAGAGTCTTCCAAAAATAAATCCTCCAAAGGGATTTGAAAAGCAGAAGGATGTATATTGTTGGAAAGTCATTGGACAATCTTTTTTTGTTTGTTTGTTTTATTTGAAAGAGGAGCTTTGTCCATTTTGCCCAGATTCCAGAATTAGACTTTTCATTTATAATCCAGAGGTCATCAAAGCTAATAATCCCATTGATTAATATGAGTTTTTAATCCCACCCTGCACATCTCAAAGTTGAATTAACCATATTATTTGATATTTGAAATGGTGGGATGCTGACTTGGATGTTTCTAATTTTCCCTTGGAAGCTTTTTCAGTTTTGTGTCTTTTTACATCATAAAAATGGCAGCAAATGGGATTCTGGGATGAATGAATTGTAGTGTCCTTCCAAGAGAACGATCAAATGGCAGTGGTCACACTGGTCTGGACGAGTCACAGTCATTTTCTGCTTCTCATTCCCAAAGAACAGCCACGTATCCTTCGTGCCAGGTTGTTGCACCAGCTTTGCAAGGTGCCAAGCCCTTGGTGTTAATTCAGGAAAGCACTTAATCATGGAATTGATGACTCTAAAGTGCCTAATATAAGCATGTGCTTAAGTGCCTTGTTGGAGTGGGGCCAGTGCAGATGTGCCCTTGCTGAGCAGAGATTTGTGAGCTACTGCTGGTCTAGTTTCTCTGTAAAACAGAGATGAAAACACTGCTTGTAGTTTTATTTGTAGGTTTTGTTTGCACAAGGCTTTTGGGATAGATGCAGGGACTGAGTTCTGTCTGTAGGGTTTATGTGTGAGCTAAACAGCAAAATTGTTTATAACATTACTACTGAAGTATGTGTGATATGTTGCATATGCTGCATTTCAGGCCTTAACATTTCTCTATTATCTTGATTTATTTTACTCTAAATGTAAAAAGAATAATCCTGTAATTTAGTTCAAATATCACAGTGCAAAATACATACACACTTACATGGGTCACAAAACACAGATGCAAATGAATGTGTATTATTTATAAATCAGCTTTGACATCTTAATATACTAAAAAAAGACATTTAGTCGTAGTTCAGCATTCTGCACATTTTTGAACTATCGTATATCATCATCATCCATGAAAAATTCATTATTTGAGTCTTAAGCATTTTAATTGTATATGCACATTCCACCCAAAAGGGGGTGTGTGCTCTGCTCTTGTCGTTTTGGGTTTTTTTACCTATACTATCCCCCCACCCCATTTTATACAGTGAAAGTAGACAGCTGGGGTTAGGCTGTGCCAAAAGCCCACAGTGCCCTCCAAGACCTACCTGAAAACAAATGAGTGTCAGGACTCTGTGACTAAAGAGAGACCTCAGGGTTTTCTGGTGTCCTACCCAAATCCTTCTGGATTTGCTGAATCCCAGACAGCCAGTTATAGTCAGAGTTCATACTACACACCAATAAAATCCATGTAATTGCCCTTATCCAATTCTCTAATGTGGACAGACAAAAGCCAGGTAAAAACCAGCTTAAAACATGGCAATTTCTGCCAAAATCCAAATTAATAAGGAACATGGTGTGAATGACCCATTTTGGGTGTTCTTAGGGGGTTCACAGGCCACATTGTTTTGAGATGGGCAGAGGAGTGAACTCTGAATTGAGGTGATTTTGCAGAAGTTACTCTGTCAAGAGCCTCATTCTTACATGACAGGAGCTCTTAGGTTAATGCTTTGGGGGTTTTGGAGGGAATAAATGGTGAACTTGAAGACTTTCAGATGAGGACAGCCCTGGCCTGTTTGGACTTTGTAGGTTAAAACTCTGTTCTAGTGAAGCTGTTGCTCAGTGATGGGTTTAAATACCAATTTAATGATGGTGAAAGGACCTAGTGAGGAGACAGAGCTGGTGGTGTCAGTGGGATGATAGTGCTGTTTACTGGTTTTCCTCACTGTTTCATAATTTCTTTAAATTGGAAAGATAGAAGGATGAAAGAACCTCAGCTTCTGTGGCCCATTTCTCTCAGGTCTCTGCTGCAAGAGCCAACAAGGAGCCCTTGCCTTGTTTTCTGTTTGCTTGAAGCTGCTTGCAACCTCCACTTCACCTTCTCAGTAACATTTAACAGAAGCTCTTAATTTATTCTGTCCTGGTTTTGCCCATCCCCAGATCTGAGCTCAGCTGACTGTGAGGGGCTGGTGCTTTCAAGTAATATGGGTTCCCTGGTTTGAAGTTTCTCTGGGAATGAAAAATCTGTTTGATTAAGGAAGCACTGACTTCAGAAAGCCTATCAGTCTGCCCAGCTCTGCAAGGCAGGCCTGCAGAATGTCTAATTATTTGGAACTGTTCTCTAGAGGATTTGGCTTGCAGAAAATTAGTCTTCCTGTTTTTGGTCTGATGTTTATTAAAGGTTCTCTCCTTTTTCTCTCCTTTGCAGTTTTTATCTGTAGTTTCATGGTGGCGGCGCCGATCTTTGGTTACCTTGGTGACCGGTTCAACAGAAAGATCATCCTCAGCTGTGGCATCTTCTTTTGGTCAGCTGTCACTTTTTCAAGCTCCTTCATCACGGAACAGGTAAGATCTTGGCAAAGACACTTTGCAGGTTGTCCTGAAAAGATGGACAATATATTCCTAAATAACTCCCCACCACACTGTGCTCAAGGGGAACACATCCCTCCTGTGTGTATGTAACATTTAGCATGTTGTATTATCTGACCTTTTGTGGGAGAAGTGTGCTCTGTGTAACTGTGTTTGCTTAACTGTGAAAGCTGTCACTCTTTGATCGTGCATATTCATAAAAAGTAACAGATGAAGCATGTCTAAGCAAGAGTTCCTGTTGACATAAGGGCTTTGTTTTGAGGGAGATCCTAAAGAAGCTTTAAAAGGCTTTACAAATGTATTGGGAGAATGAATCCATGGCTACACAGTGGTTCTTTTGTCTTCTGATATGTAACTGAAGCCATAGGATTTTGTTGAGAATTCTGCTCGTGGTGTGTGGAATAACAAAATGCATCCAGCAGTGGTTTTACAGATGCACTTTGGTTTCTGTCCACCAAGGCAGAGAAAGTGGCTGATAACACAGAGATCAGACACAGTTTCAGCTCCTTTAACACTTGTCAATGGATTTATCTGGGGAAACTGGTGATGGAGTTGTCAGGCTCACCCAGTTCTGTCAAGCTCTGCATCCCTCTCCTGCTCCCAGGACAGTGCCCCATTCTGAGCACTCCTCACTGCATTAATCTTCTTGTCAGAGGCATTTGGAGGAAACAATGATCTGGCAGTTTCTGGGGGGAAATATCCACTTGTTTAAATCATATTATAGCTGAGATTTAATTGCTGCAGGTGGCAACATTCCTGCAGAGACAAATCACAGCTCCTGGCATCATCAGACTGATTTCCCCAAGGGAGGCAGGGGCATTCCTCATCCTTTCTGTCCAGCTGCGTTCCAGAGATTGCAGCATTGTGGTCACGCCTAAAGAATGACAACCAGGGACTAAACCTCTCCACCCTTCTCCATCCTGCCCACCCACATGCTCTTCAGTTTTTAAAAAAAGAGAGTTTCCACTTAAAGCAGGCAGTGGCACTTATGTCAGTGTGGCTTTCACCAGGATTGGTTGTTGCTGCATTTCTAAAGCAAGATGCATATGTGGAAGCCAAATGTGGAAGCCTTTAACTCAGGAAATTGTTCTGGGTTACCCTTGGCCAGGAAACACCTTTTCCAGAGAAAGAATGTCTCTCATCTAAAATAAAGAAGGAATTTTATTTTTGTTTTCTCTTTTTTTTTCTTTAAATGTTTCTCATAACATTCTGCAAAAGCAGCTTTGATCAGAGCCCAGAGAGAGAAGCATTTTAGAGAGAATCAATGACCTTCTTATAAACACTTCCTGTGTTACAGACATATATTTATGCTTAGGTTCTCATTGATCTGCCTGCAGCCAACTGGGTCCCACAGCTGGAAGCAGGGGAACACTGGAACTGGACTGATGTTTTCAGAGTTGAATTTCAGTTTAAGGATTTGGGGCTTATTAGCTGAAGTAGTTCAAGGATTAAGATGTGTAGTTATTTGTACACAGGGACTCAGAGTAGCAGTAACATGTGTTTGGAATCCAAACCCCAATGTTTTAGAAGTCATAAGAGAGACAAGATCAAAATAGCCAGACCTGTATTAAGTCATCCTGGATATGCATCAGTACTAACTCTGGACTCCAAAGACCATCTTGACAAAAACCACCCTAATACTTAGAAAAATCCCCTGTCCTGATTTTCCTGCAATCCTCAACTCCAGGAGAAGATTTAGCTATTAATCCAGAGTTCTCATGCCCAGCTCCTGTTACTGACTCCAGGAGGTAATGGAAAACATTGCAGCTGCTGTAAGGATGTTCTCTACCCAGTGGCTGCAGCAGCTGAGCAAGGTCCTAAGAATAATCCAGTTTCCCATGGAATCCCTCCCACTTTGGTGCCCATGTTAGTGGCTTGATTCCTAATTGGGAAGACATGCCACAATGAACAAGATGAATTCCTGACATGCTAAAAGGGTCAGAGAAGAGCTTTTCCTTTTATGTAGGCATTTTTCCTGATCTTTGTTGTCTAAGATTTATTTGAGGAGTAAAATGTTGCTTTTTCTCTCAACATTTTGTTTTCCTTTTAAGACAGTGTATGTATTTGTTGGGAAGGAGGACAGGGAGCTGAAATATCAAAAACTCTTTGCTGGCACAAATAAAAGCTGTAGTAAAACTACTGTGAGAAGAGAAGTTCTGACATCCAAGTTGTCATGAGAACACAGGGCTAGAAGGAGCAAGTTGACACAGGCTGAGCCTGTTGGAGAACTCCTTTATGTAGCAGCAGCAAAAATCCTGAATTAGATGAGAAAGAGTAGCCTTTCAGGAGGAATAGCAGAATCCCTGTCTTCAGGGATTGCCTTTCTTCACATTTTGATGGGGCCTAGTGCCTCATGCATCCTGTCACTGTGTCATTAAATAGAATTCACAGCCACACAGCTCAGATCTGGAGTGCAAATGGAAAGAGACAGCTTAACAAAGGCCCAAAGCAGCTACAGAGCTGGTGAACTCTGAAGGCACCCAGCTTGTAAAGCTCCTTGGTAGTGTGTCAGTTCCTGGCTAAAATTTGAACATCTAAAGGAAGCCATGAAAAATCCTGTTGTTTGAGTCAATGACTAGATTATTGTGCAAACAAATTTACAGAGAGAGACGTGTTCATTCTTATTTGTCCTACTGTCTTGCCACAACTTCATCTGCTGAGCATGATGCCCTGTGGTCTGGGGTAGCCCTGGGATCAGCTGTGTCCCTCCAGTTCCTGTGTCCCCAGCCCTTCTCTGGGGGCTGAGGAGCAAACAAGACCTTGACCTGTATAAGCACTTGCTCAGCAGTAATGAAATCATCCCTGTGTTATCAGCTCTGTTCTCAGCACAAATCTAAAGCATGGTCCCATACCAAGTACTGGGAAGAAAATTAACCTGTCCCAGCCAAAAGCAGCCAAAAGGATTGGAGTGCAGTAAACAGCTCATCTAAGATACTGTCTAAATGCTATTTTATTCTACTTGGGTTAAAAAAAGCCACTGAAAATCAGCAGATAAATCAGGAATTGGGTACATGTGCCATGAAGACTGTTGCTAGAGAGCTCTGCCTTTTAAAAATATCATTAGTTATTTATTATCAAGTATCTCTGGGTTTCTAAAATGGAATAAGGACTGTCAAATAAATGAAGAATTAATGTCTTATCTGCTGGTAGGTACTAAATAATTAGATAATAGGCTCTCACAAGGAAAAAGAAAATTAGGCCAAAATCTGGGGGCTGTTCCAGTGCATATAGGGTGTGATAGAAAACAGCAATACATGAATTCTACACATAGCAAAATAGAAACAGGACAACTCATGCTTAAAAGTTTGGTTACTGTTCATGAGATCTTAAATCAATTTTGAAACAAATCATAGTAAGAAACCAAATAAATTCTGTATCACAGATTGATTCCATAAATACACCTGTTTCCATGGATAAAAATAGCTAATGAGAAATTTAACTAAAGAAAATCATCAGAAGTAGTAAGACTGAGATGATAGTGATAAGTTCACTTTTTAATGTTGTTTGATAATTTATTTTAGTACAGAATTTCTCTATAGAAAGATAAGACATGAGGCCTCCTCTGCTTTGGTACTTGCACATTTCTGCTCTATAACACTGTTTAGCACTTCCTAAAAGAAAAGTTCCATTAAGAAATCATTAACAAACGTGTTCAGTGATCTGAATATGTAAAGTTGGTACATATTTAGATATATCTCTAGATTATCAAAGTTTCAGTAAATAATGTATGTATCTTAACTTTTATTTTCTAAGTACAAGCACCTGCTTAGAGATTTTCTCCCTTTAAACCTGACTTTAAATCAGGTCTGCACTTACCAGCACAACTTTTGGCACTTTCACCTGCAAAACCCTTTCTTGTGTTGTTTTTGGCTTTTGCCAAGCATTTGGGGAAAACACTTGCTGGTTGTTGGTTCATAAGCTGTAGTAAATCAGCAAAAAGTCAGTAGGTTTCTGTGTGGTATGGAGTGATATCCTAAAGTAATGAACCAAGGGCACAATCTTCATAGAGTTTCTTTACCTTTTGTGTGGTACAGTCATATCCCAAAAGTAATGAACCAAGGGCACAATCTTCATAGAGTTTCTTTACCTGGATGTATTTCCAATCACACAAAAAGCTAAATATATGATTGTCTTCCTCTGTATCAATATAAACTCTGATTTAATAAGTAACCAGTTTATTTCCCTAGGTAGCATTTTCATGAGCACAGTGCCTGATTGCATGTGTGATCACCCTGAGATGGTTTATATTCCAGCATGTCATTGGGAAGGGTCTGTAATCCCAATTGCACCATTTCTCTCTTCCTGAACAGCTTAATATGAAGGAACCTGGTTGTCAGGAGTGATCATCAGGAGAGTTTTCAGGAGAGTTTGTTTCTGGCTGCTTGGATATCCACATCTATTAGTCATGATAAATGTTCTCAGCTGCTTTGTCTGAGCAGAAGATTGCCTTAGGTGAACCCCGGGGTTTGGTGCAAAGCTTCCTGCCCCTCTCAGCACAGCTCTCTGGCACATCAGGGCCCCTCTCCCTTGTGGGCAAACACCCTATTTTAAACCAAGAAGGAGCTTGGAGGTGCAAATTTACAGACTGTTCTCTAGTCTTCTGAAACTGCTCTGTCCATGTAAATATCTTGAATAAAGCATATTTCTGTGTAAAAGGTGTGCTGGCTTACAAATGAACCAAGGCTTCTGCTCCACCAGGCTGGAGGACCAGGAGTGCCTCGTAAGCAGCCAGAGCAGGCTGTGCTAATGTGGGTTGGCTGGGACACCAGAGCTGCACATGCTAGAAAAGAAAGTTGGGAAAGAAGGAAAGTGCAAGAAAGTTGGGAAATGGAAAAGCAAGGCATTGACAAGGTAAACCAGGAATGTGCTTTTTGAATTCTCCAGTTCTTGGTAAATATTTCTGTTCAGATTTTGATATAGCTCACTTGATAAAACCTTTCTGCTCCCACTGCAATTTACCTCTGGATAGGTATTTC